TACCTCTGAGATATGATGAAATCCCTCCCATCCGCCCTGCCATTCCAATGTCCTACCCCGTCTCCTGTCTGTCCTAATCTGTTGTACTCTTTTTTTCTTTTTCATAGAGCTCATTACCTTCAGACCTAATATACAGCAGTGTTCTTATTTATTATGTTCATTGGTATTGTTTCCCTAGACATAACTTCCACAAAACAAAGAATCTATTCTATATTCTGTGATGCATCTCCTACAAGAATGCCAAATTGGCCAAGTAAATGAGTGGAAAAATTAGAGAGCAACGTAAGCTTTGCTGATTCCATATGGCAGATGGAAGGAGGGACTACCCCTCCCGTTCCTCAGGAAACAACGTGAAATAGCCCACTAGGTATCTCTGTTTTCCAGAGGGTCTTCTCTGCACCGTGCTCCTCACGGGAGCTCAACCAACCGTTTTGTTTGTTTTCTTTTCTACAGTGGCTCCCCCCTCTCTCCCTCCTTGGGGATCCTCACTCTTTTTTTACACAGAACTTTCTGATACCCCTATGCATCCCCACCCCAAATGTATTAATGTTTCACAAAATGACTTCGAAGTTCATGCGACTGAGCAGGCAGGGCAGAGACCCAGTCAGCTTGCTCGGGGCTAACTTCGGGTCCGTGCTGCGCTCTGTCACTTCTCATCTTCACCCCAGTGTTGTGTATCTTCATCCACGTGCCGTGTTGATACAGTGCTCTCCTCAAGAGTTGTTCTTCCCCTGGCTGCTGACAGATGGTTCGCATTCTTTTCCTGCTAGTCAACTGGCCTTGTAAAAGTTAGGAGCAGCATGGTTGGCAGTGGCTTAATTCCAAGCCTCGTGTTCAGTAAAGGGTTGACACGCCCTTGGCACAGGCTCAGTGATGATGCTCTGACCCAGGTCGGCTTTCTCTTTAGAGGCAGAGTTGAACCTGAGTTCAGACTTTAAATGAGGCTCCAAGACGGGGTGAATGAGGACACTATGCAGTCAGAGATCGGTGAGTAGTTTTTGAAAAAAAGATTCTAAAAGTTAGCAGAGTAGTGAGAACATTTGCCAATATAAATGCTGCCTGTGAGACACAGGCCAGGAGGACTGCAAGGGCTGGAAGCAGATGCAGAAAATCTAAAGTCATTTCAGGCGGTGGGTGTTTTGCAGCAGCCCGTTATCAGAGACGAGGATACTCAGGAGAGCTGATCATCCTCCTGGGTGTATATTCTTCAGAATCCATAGAATTTTGAAGTCCAGGTGATTGTAATTGACCTCATCATCCAGGACATGTAGACTGACGTCGTAGGCAGTGCACTTCTGTATACTGCTATCTTTGCATTGGTGTTAATTAATTGTCACATGTGTAAATGGCAGTCAACTTCGGTATGAAGTATATTTAGTAGAGTATATGCTACACGAAGGTGGGGAGTTATTTTTTTCTTTACTGTTGTATTTCTAGGTGCTAGAATAATGCCTAGCACATGGTAGATAGTAAATCTTTGTTTAATTAATGAAGAACTCTTTCATTGATAAATATGCCATTTATTTAAAGTCTGATATATACCTCTTCGAATATAGATGGTGTTAGTGGAAATGGTCTCAAGATTGTATAGCATGACTGCCTCAGGGACACTCTTGGTCATCTGAACGGCTAAGCCTAAGTAAAGGCTGTCGGGAGATGATGATTATACAACAGTACGATGTGTGGTTGAAAACCCCTGCAGAAACTCACACAGAGCTCTCTCAGGATATTCTCCTAGAAGCCCAGCGCTGACCTGGAATGTCATCTCATCTGCTCCAGTCCACCCAAAGGACAGACATTTATCTTTTATTTCGAGAGAAAAATGGAGGCACGTTTAAACTTTTACCTGACCCTGGTGTCCTGGAACTGAGCACACATCAGGCGACACACAGGTGCCTCTGACTTAGAAACAGGATTGAACCGGAGCAAGGACCTCACTGTTCTGGGGTGGTTTTCACTTCGCCTGGCTCCATGGCTTCGGGCAGTTGCTGCTTCAACCACGTGGCGCTCTGGCTCCTCTGTCTGTGAACTCCCACTCCCCCCAAAGAGGACGCGACAGGATGCCTGCCTGCCTGCTTCACGGGGCTGCTGGGAAATTCCGAGTAGGGTGTGCTCGATGTGCTTTGCTAGTTGAACAGGTTCACACGAATGAAAGTGGAAATTCTGAATACAGGTTAAGGAGAAAGCAAACAGAGCATGTACAGAAGTTATTCTCGTTTTACAATACTAACATTGATTAATGAAACTATGAACTTCTAAAGAAAGAGTAAAGAAACAATTGACAATATCTTAAAACCAAGGGCAGCCAGCCACACCTCCCACTGAGGAACGACACAATAAAAGCCAGTTTCTGCTGAATCAGGCAAGACACCACGGGATTCGATAATCAAAACGACGCGAGCAATGCTATGCTTTAAATTTGATCCAGATTTGATATAACCATACACAAGAAATGGCTTTACTGGAGTAAAATATATAGGGTCTTAAAGATGCAGTTTAGATGTTAGGAGATATTTAATGTTGGTCTTTCGGCTGCAGTTCAGAGGAATCATCAGAACCATAAGGTCGGGAATACAATAGTCCTTCTGAGGCAGTGCAGTGGCTGGGATGCAGACAGCTGGAGCGGACGCACTCTCTAGTCTAATGCAGAACATCCTCACAACAGGATACACACGTATTCCTTAAAAATTTTCCCTTAACCCTGGAGAGAGGATATTGTGTAGACTGGCTAGTGTAAGCTTAGTGTTCTCCATTTTATATCTGTTTCCTCTGTACCTGTTAGGAGTCTGTATCTGCAGCTGTAGGGTGCAGTCCTCTGCCGCGTCCTCTAAGACTATACAAAATATCAATGTGTTTCATACTTTGGCAGGTGAAGTTCATGGCTGTGAGTTATTGATATGGAAATCGTGGGGTGTAATGGAACACCAGACTTCCGTTGTTGACATTGTGAGGACTGCGCATGCCTGCATCATAAGAAACTTACCAAGTCAATTAGTACCTAAAGTCCAGCAAATTGAAAATGATTGCTTCAATAGCATTGGAAATTAATCCATTAATAGTATTTTTTCATTGCCGGTAGCAGTGCAATGTGCTCCATTAAGACTGAAGTGATTGCCTAAGATTGAAGTGACTGCCTAGCCGGTGTGGCTCAGTGGTTGAGCGTCGACCCATGCACCAAGAGGTCGCTGGTTTCCAGTCAGGGCTCATGCCCAGGTTGTGAGCCCGATTCACAGTGAGGGGCATGTAGGGGGCGGCTAATGGATGTTCTCTCTCATCGATCTCTATCTCTCTCCCTCTCCCTTTCTCTCTCTCTCTCTCAAATCAATAAAAAAAATTATTTAAAAAAATACAAAACCACAAAATTTCTAATCCTAATACTAGGTAGTATCATAGTAACCTTTGATAAACTTCTTTCCAGGCCTAATTATGTTATGCTTTTTTAGAACCATATGGTGGGTCTTTTCTTTAATTTTGTATTTATTGATTTTAGAGAGAGAGGAAGGGGGGGAGGGAGAGAGAAACATCAATGTGTTGTTCCACTTATTTATGCATTCATTGGTTGATTCTTATATGTACCCTGACCAGGGATCAAACCCACAGCCTTGGAGTATCGGGACAAGGCTCTAACCAACCGAGCTACCTAGCCAGGGCCAACTGTTGTTTTTTTTTCTACTTTAATTATCTTGAACTTTGTTCCAGAACATTTAAGTATTTTAGACAATATACTTTTCAATGGCTGTAATAGTATTCCTTCTTATGGATGTACCAAAATTTATTTAACCAGCCCCCTACTATTGCACAGTTGTTACTTCAGTTTCCTCGTAAACTGTGATGGTATGAATATCCTTAACAACTTGCATTGTTCATATGAATTTTCCTTTGTATAAAGTCCAAGAAATATGATTGCTGGTTCAAAGGTTATGTACATTTAAAAGTCATTTGAGCCCAGCCAGTGTGGCCCAGTGGTTGAGCGTCGACCCATGCACCAAGAGGTTGCCGTTCCATTCCTGGTCAGAGCACATGCCCAGGTTGTGGGCCAGATCCCCAGTGGGTGGCATGTAGGAGGCAGCCAATTGATGTTCTCTCTCATCAATGTTTCTATTTCTCTCTACCTCTCCATTCCTCTCTCTCTCTAAAATAAAGAAAAAAATTTTTTTAAATAAATAAAAGTCATTTGTTACATATTACCAAATATTTAAGTGTGGAACTGATTTATTCTTTTACTTAAAAACATTTCTAACTTTTTATATTATATTTATTGTCTACAGTAATTTTGAAACAATTACTTGTTGAATTTTGAGAAGACAATGAGCACCATAGGACTAAAAAAAAAAAAGCAAATCATACCAAAGTGCAACTGTGTTTAAAAAATGAAAAGAAAGAAAATATTATTTGCTAATGCTATTTTACATTCTTTATGCAAAAAATAGACTTTGACATTTTTAACTGGCATTTTTATTAAGACAAGTAAATATATTTTAAATATACGAAGTCTATGCCTGTGTTGAGCACACTTCAGTTGAATATTTTACTGTAATTTTCTCTACAACATTGAATAGTGTTTTAGAAGGTAAGGCTTTTGTTTTCTTTAATCACATGTATACGGTTTATTTTTAAAAGGATTTAAAAAAAAAATTTGTTCAATAAACAGCACTTCAGTTTGAAATAATTTTCAGTGATTGACAAAAATACTCCCATTTGGTCTGTTCCCCACAGAGGTGGAACAGTGGGTGAGGCCGCTCTCTTGCGCTCTGAGAATCCGTCACTCTGCAAGCCCACCAGTGCATTTCCTTTGCTGTCCTCAGGCAAATACTGTTATTCCCGAGTAATTTCACAACCAGGGTTCCTGAGGATCCAAAGAATGGGTGGCCATGAAACTGAGGGAATTTAGACAAATCTAATGAATCACAAGGGCAGGTTCTGTTCTGTCGTGGTTTCTCCTGTTTTTAAAAGGAAAAAACAAGCCCTTATTCTGACATTGTTTTCCTGCCCCTTCCCAGTGCTCTGTGGCGGGGGCGAGAGCTTTCTGTGCGGCAGCGGTGTCTGCATCCCCAGGAAGCTGCAGTGTAACGGCTACAACGACTGCGACGACTGGAGCGACGAGGCCCACTGCAGTACGTGACCGACTCTGGGGGCTGGGGGTGGGCGGGGGTTCTATTCAGGGGCCTGGAAACCAAAGCCGTTCCACTTTGGGTTCGCCCTTCCAACGTGAGTAGCCTGTCCCCCCCGGCCCCCCCCGGTGGGAGTGGCCTGTTTGCACACCTCTCACAGGCCGGATCCCATCAGGAGTCCACCGCCAGATGCTGTTGCAACAGAGCAGGGGCTGGAGTGTTTTTTGCATAAAGTGTCTGAAAATTAGGAGAAGGTTTTTCGTGTATTTGGTTTGGGTGAGGGTTTTTGTTTTTATACTCATACTTTATGAGTATAAAGGTCAACTTTTTAAAAAGGAAATTTTACTAGGAAAAGTGTTCACCCTCATGATTCTTCCCCTTCATGGCCCAGCAGATGCCTAGCCTCTTGTTTATGCTTCCTCTGAACCTGGAGATAGCCCATGGCCTTAACTGTTTCATAGCCGTGGGTGGGTGGATTCTATTTACCGACCATTGATCTGATTAGGTGTTCTCACTGAATTGGAAGGTGCTTTGTCCAATGTTGTATTAGTCTGCTTGGGCTGCCACAGGAAATACCACAGACTTCATGACTCAAACAGCAGCAATTTGTTTTTTACCGTTCTGGAGACTGGGAAGTCCAAGATTAAGGTCCAACAGGGTTCAGTGTCTGGTGAGAGTTCTCTTCCTGGCCTGGGACCTCTTTAAAATGAAAGGGGGAGAGAGGGCAAGTGAGAGGGGAAGAGGGAGAGGGATTGGTGGGGTGAGGGGGAAAGAGAGAAGTTGAGAGAGGTTGTGGGGTACTCTGATGTTTCATCCTCTACTTTTGGGACCATCCCTATTGGATTAGTGCCCTACTCTTATGACTTCATTCAACCCGCATGACCTCATCACAGGCCCTACCCCCAAATATAGCCATGTTGGGGGTTTGGGCTTCAACATAGAAACATTGGGAGAACGCAGACACTCAGTCCATCACAAATATATATTCAGATTTCAAATCATTTTATACTTATGCAATAGACACAAGTGAGAAAGTAGCCTCAAGAATACAATGTAGGATCTGCATCCAAAATAGAGCCACACGCTATTGTGCTCTAATTGCTTTCTAATGGTTATATGAGCAGCAGTAGTTACTAGGGGAAAGCTGTGTTTTACTCCTTGTAGAAGTTGCCAAGGCTTTCTAAGAGCTCACGACGATTGAGCACATTTGAGATTCCTCTGGTCTGTTTGCCAGGTAGACTTTTCTTCCATCTGAAGGGTTTGGATGTTTATTTGTCAAAGCTTTTTTTTTTTTAATTGAAATTTTAGAGAGAAGGGAGAGAGAGATAGAAACATCAATGAGAGAGAGAAACATCAATGGGCTGCACCCTGCACACCCCTCTACTGGGGAATTGAGCCTGAAACCTGGGCACGTGCCCTGACCGGGAATCAAACCAGGACTGCTCAGTCCATGAGACGATGCTGAATCCACTGAGCCACACCGGCGGGCTATTTGTCATAACTTTTGAAAGGCCATATATCATGGTAATTTTTCAGGTCAGTGTTTCTCAAACTGGTGTTCCATAGTACCTGAGTCTTGAAAAGTGCTTGAGGAAAAAAAAAAAAAAAAAAGTTTGAGAAATGCTGTCTATCAGATCTTCTTCTTAGTTACAATACATATTTGTGCCTTAAAGATTCCAAGAAACCTACAGGTAAAAAGAGACAATTTTGCTTAACTTGGTATTTCCTCAAAATAATTTGGTTTTATATATCTTCACCTTAATTTATATATTTATTTACTCATTCATGCATTGATTCATTTTGTAGACTATCTAGCATCCTGGAGAACTTTAGTTATGTCACCCATATTTTCAGAAGTGTTTTCACTAAGACATTTGTTTTTATAATTTGGAATTCCTTCTTTAGAAAAACCTTCGGCAGATGATTTTTGTAGGATGTATATTTATATTAGGGAATATTGCTGTGGACTTGCAAGAAAATATTGTGCAAAGCACCCACACCAGGGAGTTTAAAATAGTTCAATAGAATTATATCCAATTTTTGAGAATTGTGTTTCTCTCTCAATTACGGCCCACGTTCCGGCATTATTCAACTTTGCGCCCGCCTCTACCCCCAGTGGAGAGCCGGCACTCACGTTCCTCCGCTGCACTGAGCATTGCACTTCAGACAGAGAGAACTTCCTGCTGCATTTGTTCAAACTGAATGTGAGGGAGTAAACGTGCCTAGGCAGTGCCCGACAAAGCCGTCCTTACTCTCCCGGAAGGTATTTAGCAATGTCTTAGGAGCTAGACTGTTTAGTAAAGAAGATCTGGGCTTTCCTCATGAACACACTTCAGAAACAATCTGGATGGGTCCGTTGAGGTCACGCATTGCTCGGAATACTTGTCTACGAAAATGCTTAGGTAGACACTGAAATCTTTGCATGCAATTGTTTCTGACCTTTCAAGGTCATCTGTGTCTGAGCTTGAACATTCAGTGCTTCTGGAATTTCAGTGTGCCTGTTTATAGAAATGCCCCCCTCCTGTGTCCCCCCCTGCCCTGAAGGAAGAGCATACATCTGAACTAGGGCGCGGGTGCAGCCCACTGGTGAGATATTCTGAGCGGAGGAGGAGGCTTTGCGGGCATGCGCAGTGGGGAGCAGAGAGTTGTGCCTGCTTCCAAGGGTTCTGGCCAATACAGGAGGAGGAGGACTGCCTTTAAAGAAGGGAAGGGGTATTTTATTTGTGAGTTCCCTAAACAACGATGCTAGAAGCATTTACCTACACGATTTCACTGAATTTTCAGCAAAGAAGGTAATCTCATCCCCTTCCGTGTAGGTGCAGAGCCCAGGCTTAAGGCAATGAAAACATTTGCCAGTGGTTTCAAGTCCAGCATCGAATGGGTCCAAATCTAATGCTGTTTTCTCTCAACTGCGCTGCCTTTGACTTGCCCTTGTCCATAGAAATTCAGATTTGGTGGACGATTGTATTTTGATCATTCATATGACAAATGCTTATTTCGGATATCCTATTATGCTTGGGAGATAATTGTCTATGACAGAGGCATTCCAGGTGTCTGGGACTTCCTGCCTTTCTCCCCTAACTAATTTTGCTGTGTTTATCAGTCTCATCCTAAGTATTTGTAGAATGAACAGATTTCCAACCACCTGGAACAATTTAATGGCCTAGTGAAAGGAATTTTGAAAATTAAGAAAAGTTTTCTTTTAAAAGTTTCTAGCTCTGTGATGTTAGGCAGGTGACTTCTCTATCCTTGGTTTTTTCTTGTCACTAAGACTGGCTGAACAGTAGCATTTTCAGGAAGCCTAATTCAGGTGGATTTCCAAATGATGTTGCCAAGTCATCACAAGTCACGCATTTACTTTTTTTTTTTTTTCACTAAGACAGGGATGCAAGTAAATATGAGAAAATTTTCCATTTAAATGATGAAAATATTTCATTCTACACTGACAGAAGAAGCTTCAGATGTCTGGAAAATTCAGCTCTGCCTAGTGGCAATTTGGTTATACTGAATCAATCAGACTTTTGAATATCCTTGACTTCCTGCTATGTGTGAACCATATTCTAGATACCTAGGAAATAAAAAAAGTGTTAATACATGGTTTCTTTCTTCATGGGGCTTTTTGTCTAATCAGAGAAATAACAGAAACATAGAGATCATTGAAAATGGCATTACAGAACAATATAGAAGAGATGTTGCAAAGCAAAAGAAGAGTGATGTAAATGAAAAGGTAGTTTCTGTGAGTTGAGAAGAGAGCAGGATGACTGGGAGTTTGGCTGGTATGAAGAGAGCTGATGAAGAAGATGGGATTAAATCCAGGCTTTGGACTGAAGTGATGTTTGGATGCTGTTGAATAGTGGTCCTCAGTTGGGGACACTTTTGCCTCATAGGGGACACTTTACGATGTACGAAGGCAGATTTGACTGTCACAGCTGTAGGGATTGGGAGCCATACTACTGGCATTTAGTGAGTTGAGATGAAGGATGCTGCTACACATCCTGCAATGTGTAGGGTAGCCCCTCCCACAGCAAGGAATTATGCAGTCTAATTTGTCAACAGTACTGCAACTGAGAAACCCTCTTCTAGAGAGAGAAGTCAATAGTCAAAAGAACCCAGGTAGGTGAGAAGCCTGACTTCATCTCATAGCTCTGTGGGCAAACCACTTAACCTCTCTGGTCATCTGTGATGAGAGGATTTTGAGCAATTGAGCATCCATACTTGCATCTTGAAATGAGGCAACACATTTATATTTGCAGACTCATACAGACTGAGCAAATTGAGTGAAACCCTTGATAAAAGGTTTTCTGTTCCTTAGTTTTCTCCCTTAATTTAATGACCATTTTAAGAAACAAAAGTTAATAGTGTGAGATGCCAAACTGAAATAAATATTAACATGCAAGAACTTCAGGAGTAATATTTTGTATCAAGCTCTCATTAAGAAAAATGATCTGTATCTAGAAAAACATCTACCTCAGGTCATGCAAAATGATGCTTGTATTGAGCAAGAAAACCACAGCAAGTAGTTTTTGAAAATTTTCATTCATTGACCCCAAATTGCACTGACAACATTTCTTTTCAGTCCAAATAAACATTTATTCCAATAAAAGGAGGCACTGTGATCTTTGCTATTTGCTATGTATTTCTGGCTGCGCAGTGCCTCCGGTTAAGGTTTTGTGTGTTTACCAGTCACACAGACTGTAGGGAGGTAATAAGTTGTTTTCCAAACGTAGCTAATTTTGTATCTAACCTCTGAGAATGGCTTCTAACCAAGTGCGCCATTACAGTGGAAAGTTGACTCTGTACCTGTGTGTGTGAATATAATAGGATTTTTTTTTACGGCTTGATTCATCATCATTTATGAAATAATTTAATAAATGAAAGCATTCATTTAAAAAATATCTCAAATGAGGTCTTAGTACTGGGTATCCTAGAATAGGCCCCACAGAGGACATGTGAATCATTGGAAAATTTTGGTGTGCTAATCAGATTCTGAAAGGAGTATCTGATGCCCCAGTCCTACAATCAAAAGAAGTGGAGTATACAGCTTTAAAAACAAATAAACAAACCAAAAAAGCACAACTAACTCATATGGTTTAAAATATGCTACCCCTCCACCCCACCACCACTTTCGGGGAAATGCAAGTACTTTTGCATTAATGGTCAAAGTCAAATTAAGGACCCTGGTTATTACGGATTCTAGCATACTGCTTCAAAACATCCCACAAGATAATTTAGATGAAAACAAAACAAAACTCAAGAAGACCTTATACAGCTTCCCAAGAAATGTATATATCTTGATTCATTTCCCAACTCTGCTTGGTGGGCAAGAACACAAACATCATAACCTTTTTCTACTTAGTGGGCATATACAGTGGTCCCAGTCAGCCCCGTAGAGTGCAAGGTGGGGATTTAGCGCCCTCTGCTGAATGGGAGGAAATGGTACAGTTCTGTCACGGTGAAACTAGAACCCCTTTTTAGTTCTTATATTTTCCCTTGTGATAGTCAATCTCATTTGAAAATTATTCAGCCTGGGAAAATTTAAAAGAATGCTTAAAAATTTCTGCATGTGTGTAAGTGTGAACATGTGTCTGCACATGTGTGTGTTTATGTGTATACACAACCATGCCCTCTTAATGAAGGTGCTGAACACATGATCTCTAAGACCCATTCCGTTTCTAAAATGAGGTGATTCTAAAAGTATTTAAGTAACTTATTGTACAAGAAAATAGAACCCATTATGTGAGATACAGGTTTCTGCCTCAGGAGAAAGAATCAGCTGGAATTCAAGAGACTGTACTATTTGACCACTAAATTCTTGGTCTTCATCAGCCAAGTAGACTGACCCTCAAACGAGCCCTCATTTCTCACCTCTTCTCTGTTCTTGTTATTCCCTCTCTGTGAAACATGGTGAAGTTTTAATTCCATCCACACTCCTGAAATTCTGCCCATCCTCCATGATCTTTCTCCAGGCTTAAGAATCTATTTTTGGCCCTGGCCGGTTTGGCTCAGCGGTTAGAGCGTCCGCCTGCGGTCGGAGAGACCCGGGTTCGGTTCCCGCTAAGGACAGGTACCTCGGTTGCAGTTTGTCCCCGGCCCTGGTTGGTCATGCGGGTGGCAGCCACTCGATGTGTCCCTTTCACATCGATGTTTCCCTCTCTCTCTCTTCCTCTCTCTCCCTCCTACTCTGTCTGTACAAAAAATGGAAAAATGTCCTCGGATGAGGATTAAAAAAAAAGAATCTATTTTTGCACTTACTTCACATCAAATAAGGGAAAAGATAACACATTTAAGAAATCTAGTTTCTATGCAATGCAGGATTTTTACATTTATTAATTTTAAACATTTTTACTGTTTTATTGAGGTATAGTGTGCAAACCATAACTGTATCCCATTGATTTTTAGTAAATTTATAGAGTTGTACAACCATCACCATAATCCACTTCTGGAACTTTTCTATCTCCCCCCAAATTTCCCTCCCACCTACTGGCAGTTAGTCCTCAGATAACCACTTCTATTTCTGCATGGACAGATTCCCACTGCTCTCATTTCTGACTCTGTAAGCTTGCTTTTTCTGAAAAGTTGTTAAGGGGTCACACAATATGCAGTCTTTGTGTCTGGTTTCTTTCACTTAGCATAAGGTTTGTGAGGTTCATCCTGGCTATCACATGTATCACTGTTTTGATACTTTAAATTCTGAATAGTATTCCATCATGTGAGTATACTGTATCTTGCTTATCAATTCACCAGTTGAGTGTTTGGGTTGTTTCTAGTTTTTGACCATTATGAATAATGCTGTTATGAACATGCACATACTAGTCTCTGTGTGAATATATGTTTCACTGTTCTCGGGTAGATTTCTAAGGGTAGAATTCACGAATTATATGATAAGGTTATAGTTAGCTTTATAAGAAGCTGCCAAGCTGTTTTGCAAGGTGACATTATAATTTTACATTCCCACCAGAGGTATATGAGAGTTTCAGTTTCTCAAAATCCTTGCCAATACTCAGTATTTTTGGTCTCTTTTATTATAGCCATTTTGGAGGTAGCACCATATTGTGGTTTTCACTTGCATTTCCTTAATGACTAATTACATTGAACATCTTTTCACGTGCCAATTTGCCATTTGTATGTCTCCTGTGAAGACTTTCTGTTCAAGTCTTTTGCTAATTTGTAATTGGATTGTCTTATTATTGAGTGTAAGCATTCCATATATACTCTGGATTTAAGTCCTTTATCATATACATGATTTGCAAATAATTTTTTCAGTATATTGCTTGTCTACCTTTTAATTTTCTTTTCTTTTATAAATTATATTTTATTTTTATTGCTGACATTATTACAAATGTCTCCCACTTTTCCCTTCTTTACTTCCCTTTCCACTCAGACCCCATCCTCCCCTCCCTCTGGCCCTCACCACATTGTTGTCTGTGTCCCTGGGCTATGCGTATATGCTTTATAGCTAATATCTTCATTTCTTTAATAGTATTTTATTTTACTTTTAAATGATGTTTATTAGAAGAACTTCCATTTAAACAATGTAATAGTTGTGTAAAATAAGGTTTTTTTTAAAGAGAGTACTAACTTGCTTTTATAAAATTGATGCATGCACAGAAATTTAAACAATACAGAACTTAATAGTATTTTTAGAAGCATAAATATCTTTAACTTTGTGAGCTCCATTTATTAATTTTTCTTTTATGGCCTGTGCTTTTGCCTAACCCAAGGTCACAAAGATTTTTCCCCCTGTTTTCTTCTAAGCTTCATAATTTTGGCTTTTACACTTAAGTCTATGATCCATTTTGAGGTAATGTTTGTGTATGGTTTGAGGTAAAGTTTGGAGTTCAGTTTTATACATTTGAAATCTAATTATTCTATTACTGTTTGTTGAAGGGTATTCTTTTCCCATTGAATTGTCTTGACATCTTACATTATTTCTTTAGTCTCCACCTCCAAGCTGTATTAAGTGACTGATCTTATCCCAGTTTCATAGATCACTTCACAGTCTCATAGACTTTTAACGAACACACTCAACTTCCCACGGCTAGCAGATGGCAGAACCGGGATAGGTGTTCTGGTTGCTAAAGCACAAGACTTATCTTATTAAAAGTTCCTTGCATGTCGTTTACTCCAACATTAAACTATTGGCTTCCTGAGGTGGCATACCACTTATTCATATCTTGCCACCATATCCTAGAACAGTACTTATTTAAGGATCTTGTTATGAAACATTCAATTGACTTCAGTGTTAATGCTTGTGTGAAAGGAAGTAATGACTCCATAACCTAAATACACTTGTCTCTCCATTATTTTATTCTTACTATTGATAAAACTAGACTTTCATTGCCAAGAAAGCATTTTTGGGAAATAGTTACTCACCCTTTATTAAAGTCATTGATTCTGTATGAACATGAACTTCATTAGGAGCTATGAGGAGTTGAGAATATCTTTTCTCATATTTGACTATAAAGGAGGTTTCCGGTGACATAAAGTGAAAGTCATGTGAAGACTCAGAAAGTCATAGAAGCACTGGCTTAGGAGACAGAAGGTCCTAGTCCTGGTTCTGCAGTAACTTGTTATGTGACCTTGAGCAGGTCATTGGGTCTCTCTGCACCACTGTCTCCTCATCTGTAAAACAATAGATGTGGACCAGGTTGCCACTATGGCTTCCCTACTATTGAAATGCTTTTGCTACATAAAAGTACTACTATAACATCACGTTCTTTTCAGATGGCACACGAGTGGCTTCTCTTATTTGCAGATTGCAGTGAGAATCTGTTTCACTGTCACACGGGCAAGTGCCTTAATTATAGCCTTGTGTGTGATGGATATGATGACTGCGGGGACCTGAGTGATGAACAAAACTGTGGTAAGTAGCACTGTTTCTCTAAATGTTTTCATTTAAAACCACAGAAATTTATAACCAAGAACTTGTAGCTTGTTGTTCTTTAATATGATTATTAGCAGGTTAAATGATAAAATAGTTGTTTTTTGTTTCTTATAATTTTAGAAAGGGGAGGTTTTTTTCAATTACTACTCTCAATTATGTCTTATGTGTAAATGTCATACTTCTTAAATACAAGCACACTGAGGAAATGCTAAAGAAGTGAAGTGGAAAGGCAGCTATAGGTTAATATGTTAATATTTTTTATTGTATTCTGTTTCTTTTCTGATTCTTCTGGTGGCTCATGTGTAGATCTTGAGCTCTTGAGCAAAACTTTGCAGACAGATATACTGTTTGTCCCTTGATCCCCCTTATTTTAAAAAAATATTCTTAACTGATTTTTTAGAGAGAGAGGTAGAGAGAGAGAAACATCGATTGGCTGCCTCCTGCATGCCCCTTACTGGGGATCAAGCCCATAACCCAGGCATGTACTCTGACTGGGAATGGGAATGGCAGCCTCTTGGTGTATGGGAAGATGCTTCACTAACTGAGCCACACCAGCAGGGCACGGTCCACCTTGTTATGAGTAGCCAAAGACCTCCCAGCCATACAGAGAAGGCTTCAGCAGTAGTGACACATGGGGTTCAGATGGCATGATTGTTTTATGTATAATAGCTGATCTTATCTTCTAAAGAATGAACTTACCTTTTAAAGGGTCTTGTTCAATTTTGAATGCCATCTCGTGAGTTGAAACCAGCAAAATTCCTCTTGCTTATTTACCTTTTTGACTTTATGATTAACTTTAGAATGTTTGGGGAGATGATATTGAATGACATAGGACCTTCGTAATACAAACAAAAGGGCCAGCTGGGGTGGCGAGGGGCACTGGGCAAATACGTGAGATAGTATTTAGCATTGGAGAATATCGGAAGGAATGCTTCTGATCAAAGGGATGCCTCGGAGTGGCAGGTGTCAGAAAGCATGACAAAGCGGTCACAAACACATCAGATCAGCTCTCTACCTTGTGAAATCCAAATCACAGTTCTGTTTATTTGAGCCAGTGTAAAAATCACAAATTTCTCATAAGGAAAGAAAACCTTGACAAAAACAAAACAACAACAAAACTAAACTGTGGGTCCTAAGCTGTTCTTCATCTGACAAACAAATAGGTCACAGTGACGGTGCCTAGTGGGCCACAGGCTTGGGTGGGAACGTTGTTGAAGATTTTCGGACAACTAGGATAGATGCTCTTCTATTGGAACCGTGAGCCACCACTGTGAGTGTTCGTCGTGCTGGTTCTCTGCATCCTGTGGCCCTTCCCTCTCCTCCAGACTGCAGTCCCACAAGGGAGCATCGCTGTGGAGATGGGCGCTGCATTGCCAAAGAGTGGGTGTGCGACGGGGACCACGACTGTGTGGATAAATCTGACGAGGTCAACTGCTGTGAGTGCCCCGAGGATTTTCATTTTGCTCATTTTTCTATTTCTTGCCTATTAGACCAATACATCAAGGTTCACTATCTAAAAGCCCTTCAGAGAGAAAACTCCTATTGTGGTCCTTGCCTAGAAAGACAATAATTGAGCGGTGTGAGGACAATAGCAGTGTAGTGTACCCGACTTCCACACCTTCCTCCCTGGATCGTCAAGTTTTATTTGCTCAGTCTGGCCAAGCAGGTGTCTGTTTTCACTCCCATGGCTCCCTGCGTTTCCTTTCTGCGTCCGTGACTTTGTCAAACGGCGTGTTCTCCGCAGAGGCTGGGGGGGCTTTTCCTTTGCAAACGGTAGATGAGCGGTTGAGCTTTCTTGCAGGAGCCTCCAAACATGTTCTCAGGCGCAGTTCATTGGAGAGCATGGAGAATGGCCGGAGGAAGACAGCCGCCAGTTCATAGACTCAAACAGGGTGTGTGAGGACTGTGACAACTTGACTGCCTGTTGTATTCTCGGCCAGTGAACAGTCTTCAGGCAGCTGTTACACTGTCTAGCTAATAAAATCAAGTATGACTATTAATATTTTTTCCTCTACAAACTACACTAGGCTCAGTAGAGATGAATAAAATGATTGAATACAAGCAGCTAGTTATTAAAAGAAAGTACTTTGACCTGAAAGTTAATATAATGCATTTTATGCATGGTTGAATGAATTAAACTTTTTATTTCATCTTTTGCTGCCCACTAGAAGTAGAAAAAAGTTGATATATAGGAGACTGAATATTTAATTTACTTATAATTTGAGGCAAAACTAGAAATGCATGGTGCATGGCTTTTAATTTTGACATAATAAAAGTCATACAAATTATCAAGTGCAAAGCCCAACTTTCCCCTTCCCTGAGTTGAAAATGAACTGGAATATCTCCTGAGTCCTTGCTTAGCAGAACACAGTGGACCAGAGTAGACTGTATTGGGACTGATCTGGGGAAAGCAAGGACATGAGCCTGGAGTCAAGAATAGGGAGTTTTAATGTTCAACAGTAACTCGGCTGAAGGCTGAGGTCATGTAAAACGTGGTTTCTGATGCTCTAAAAGACAATAACAATAGAATTTAGGCAACATTTAGGAATGGGAAGATTAATGCCCACTAAACCATCTCTCTTCAATGTGAGATATCATGAACACGTTGTGAAAGAAAGTGGTTATTTTGTGCTGGGGACTATGCATCATTTCATTGGCTCCTTTGGTCAGGTTATGTGGGATGACATGATGGAGCTCAGACTTTGAGAAACTTGCCGGCATGCCCCGGCCCTACCTGTTAACAGCCATGTGACCATGTGACTTTGAGACAGCCACTAAGCTTCACTTTCCTTATTCTGAACCCGGTCGATAACAGCTACTTGCAAGTTTGTTATGAGGATTTGAGATTAGATACATAATGCTCCTGGCAAAGTTATTGCCATAGAGTAAACCTTTAATAAATTATGCCTTTTATAATAATAGTATCACTACCACCATCCTTCATAGTACTCCCTATCCTGAGGTTATCAAATAAAGGTTAATTCGCAGCAAGTGCTATTTAATAAGGCAGGAGAAATTCTGGAAAGAAAACATTCCCTTTCAAAAATACTTGGACTTTTGGAAAAATGAGCGATGCATTCATTCCTGTACACAGAGCATTCAGATAGTCAGAACACGTCCCGTCTTGATGAGGCCAGGTGCACGGCCCGTTTCTGTGACCTGCAGTCCGAGAGAAGCACAAGAAATAACGTGACGCTGTTCTGGCCTTTCCCAGCCTGCCGCAGCCAGGGGCTGGCCGAGTGCAGAAGTGGCCAGTGCATCCCCAGCACTTTCCGGTGCGACGGGGACGAGGACTGTAAGGATGGGAGTGATGAGAAGAACTGCAGTGACAGTAAGTGTGTGCCCCGCCCCTGAAACACGCCTCATTAGTGACCCTTTCCCTGGGATGCTGCAGTAGGATTCCCACGTGGAGAATTCCAGAATGCCTACCAGTCCCCCCGGCCCATCAGCCAGACCCCCCCTCCCCCAACCCCTGTGTGGATTTCCTCGAGCATCTCACACTGAAAACCACGCCTGCGGGACGAGTGGAGGCTACACACTGAAACAGCAGGGGGCGTCAGTTCACCGTTTGAGGAGGAAACGCAGCGCATGGTAAAGAGGAAAATTTAGCATATAGTCTTTGATTATAGTAGATTCCAGCGAGAAGGAATTGGCTTCTGAAATTAAATGTGTCAGCTTCGGAAAGTCACCGTGCTCAGAGAAGCAGTTTAATGCCTCACATTACCAACCAATATCCTTAAACACACGTTAAAAGGAGTCGGATCTCCATCTGTGAACCTCAGAGAGAGAAAGGAAATCAAATGAATGAATTTTTTCAAATGTGTCCATTTTGGTCAGAAAAAAAAAGTTTCATGCTGATTGTTTTAAGCCCCGGTTTGTGTAGAAGCATCTTTCAGAACAGAACTGGTAAGAATATTCCTAGACTTAAAAATCACTGCCTTCGCCCATCAGCGACCTTCCACGGGTCACCACAGCGGTTCAGAGTATGGTAGTTGCTGCCCAGCTGCCTGGTTCATGCCCGGCTGTGTTACCCAGAATCAGCTCTACTTCTCAGAGGTGACACGTGGTGAGAACTCGGTTAATGCTTGCTGTTATCACATGACCTTTATGTCGCAGCGTGTCTTGGGCTGTGTATCTCTATCCCCGGCTAATGAGATGGGTCACCTGTAGCTAAATTAGTTTTGTCATAATGAATATAGGTCATTAGGATAGCTTTGATGGAAAAAGCATTTGAGACCTAAGGGGCTAGGCTTTTAATCCCAGACTCATTACATTAAAAGATACATAAGGAGTGCTAATTTTTATTAATTTTAAAATTCAGAAGGATATCCTTTTCTAGACATGAGTATTGTGTGTATATCAACCAAGAACCTCTCTTTGGATCATACTGTTCTTCCTACATAATTCAACTCTGCTGAAATCATTTTGGCTCAGTCACTACACAATGGCAGATTTCTCAATTATTTCCATACAAGTGTGAGACGTAAGAAAGTCACATGATAAAATGGATCTAAAAGTAAAATTTTAGCATCTTTATATTATTTTCTCTAATGAATTCAACTTAATAAATGTGCATCACTGGGAATTTAGTGATGAGAAAACAGCTCTCAGGCCCCTGGGGGAGATAGACATAATACCAATAGTTATGCATGTTGGTGTCTAACTGAAGTGATGTGTGCCACGGGAAAAGTCAGGGTGCCAGGGACCGTGTCTGGGATGATGCCCTGGCAGGGGGCCGCAGGGAAGCTTCCCTGAACAAGAGCTATTGGAATTAAGATCTGAAGAATGAGTGGAATTAACAAAGGAATGTGGGATTGGAGAAAGCATTTCAGACGCAGGGAACCATGTGGCCAAAAGTCCCAAGGAGGGAAGGAGAAGGGCATGGTTAGGGTGCTGAGACAAGGCCCCTGGATTAGAGAGCTGAGAGAGGAGGAGCCTAATTAGGCCTTTTCAACCCTCAGGCTGGGCTCTCTGCTTTCCTGTCCAGGCTCCCTTAGGCTGCAGTGACTCCAACCCCTGCACTTGCCAGACCCAGGCTTTTGCATTTTCTGCTGCCTGCCTGGGAAACCCATCCGTCCCTCTTATCCTAACTCACCCCATCCGCCTGAAAAGGTCCTTTGGGAAGCTTTCCCCTTTCTGCGCTTTGCTTCTACTGCTCCTTGTACGTACTTTCAGGACGACAGCGATCCCACAGTACGGCAAGTTCTGCTCTGAGGATGCCCCGTCAGAGCACAGACTGTCATCTGGTTTCATCTTCGGGTGCTCAGTGCCTTACTTGTCACATAGCAGACACCTGTGCATCGAAATAATGAAAGCATGTGTCTTAGTAACATTTCTTTAAGGGACTGAACTTGTGGAAATTAGCCTGGCTTACCTTGCAAAAACGTTCGACTCTACTGACAGAAAAGAAAAGAAAAAGAGTGACATCTCTTTTCTGCAAGGCTATGACATATTGTATCTTAATGGTACTGGAAAGGAGAGAGTCTAGCATAATAAACGTTGTCTGAGAAATACAGATAAGAATGACATTGTGTGTCCACATACTATCATTTATATTTTTAAATGCCTGGCAAGATCTTCTAGATTCCAGATGATGTGTCTGAAAGTAACTGAGTATAATGGAGGAGAGATGGAAACAGAATGGGCAGTAATTTATTACCTTATCCATTTAATCTACAAATGACCGGGAAATCCATGGGAAAACCAGTTTCCTCTATACAGACCTTAAGGAAAAGCCATTAGGCTGACGTTACTGTTGTCATTCATTTGGAAACAAGAAACCCAATTCTCAGGTCATCATGGCTAGGCCAGTGATCCTTTCTAAGGGCATACAGAAAATATGAGCAGCAGCTGCATATCACGTGTACCATGATAAAGTCCTTACTGTGTTGGTGTTGATGCCCTACTTACTGTCGGGAAGAACGTTTTCTTTTAGAGGGAAGACTAGAGTTGGGAACAAATGAGTCTTTAAAATAATATCTAATATTCAAAATTTCAGGATCTAATATTCAAAATTTCAGGATCTTTAAATTGGTCTCTCCCTCAAATCAGTTACATTTTATTTTGTAATCAGATATATGCACCTGTGTAAATATACAACACTATCTCTTTTGTTCATTAAAAGTAATAACCACCTGTTATTTTTAGGATATGTGGCCTCTAATTTCTTCATTCCTACAGCATTTTTTTGGAATAACTGTGTTGTATTTAGTCGCCGGGAAAATGAATCCAGAAAGCACCTATTCAACATGTGTTCCATATTTGGGGAGAAATTGGAAGGAAATTGAAGTTGTGTCATTGCTCAGCTCCACCAGACATTCTCGGTTCTTCAGTTTAGATCGTAGTGTAAGGAGTTCACAGATGCTGAGAGCGAATGTGCCTTCCCCCTCTGTAGGTCAGACTCCATGTCGAGACGGCGGCCGAACGTGCCTCTACAATTCCTGCCTTGATTCATGCGGTGGTGGCTCTCGCTGCGACCCCAACAACAGTCTGAACAACTGTAGTAAGTACAGCAGCTGACAAATGCAATCCTCGTGTCAGGCTATGACTTCAGCTTTTTTCTTCCGCCTGGACACTGAAATGCTGAGGTTTGGAATCCCTCCAAAACGATATGTGTCTATTTCCCTTTTCTTTTTCAAAGCTTGCGCGTGGTAGCAGGAAAGAAACAAAATGGTCTTGATTAAATGAAATCAGAAACAAATGTGTTATTGTGAATGGACTATAAATCCACATTGCTTAATATCATTACCATTGCTTTCAACTCAATGTTAGCTCCTACATATTATTTTCTTGGCTCTGTCTGCAGACAGATGCTCTCTTTCTTCCTTTTCAAAGCTCAGCTTCAAAAATGGAAACTTTATCTGAGAAGCAAAGGTGAAGTTCATTTAGGGGTGGGGAACATCTGGCCCGCGGGCCATATAGGCCGGTGAAATCAATCCCAGCTAACGTCACACGCCCCACCAAATTAGCCTGACCCAATAAAGCAGGCTAATTTTTGAGTTGATGATTTTGTATGGCCTGCAAATGATGTTATAAGTATCCAAATGGCCCTTGGCAGAAAAGAGATTCCCCACCCCTGAGTTAGTCACATAAAACTTTGTGTTTTTTTTTTTGTCCTCACCCGAGGACATTTTTGCATTTATCTTCAGATAGAGCGGGAGGGAGAGAGGGACGAAGAGAGAGAAATATCGATGTGAGAGAGACACATCGAATGGCTGCCACCCACACAACCCCAACCGGGGCCGGGGACAAACTGCAACTGAGGTACGTGCCCTTAACGGGAACCGAATCGGGTCTCTCTGGTCCACGGGCCTAGCTCTAACCACTTAGAAACCCTGCCAGGGCTGCCTGTTCTTTTAATGAAATGTATTCTCACCTTTCCAGGAAAATGCCGACTGATGACGATCCTGCAGCCCTTATGTTGATTTGGTGACAGTGTAGCAGCTCCGAGTGGTGTGAACAGGGGGCGCTGTATCCCCGGCTCTCAGGGGGAGGAATTATCGGGGAGACAGACGGGCAGGCGGGCAGGCGTGGGAGGGCCGTGGAGACTCTTTCACGGGGAGTTGAGAACGAACCAGAAAGCCTTCAAAGACGGAGTCTGATACTCACTTCTTTCTCTTTTTATAATTAATTTTTGGTCTCGTCCTCAGTGTGGGGCTTGGGATGTAGAAGCAGGTCCGTCAGCCTTCCGTGGGCGAGCAGGTGACCCTTTGGCGCACATCCTCAGTCGAAGGCCACGGGAGGCCGGGAGGTTGAAAGCCTTGGGGGTTTGGTCCTTGGATGTTCCGGGGTCCCAGTTTTACTCGGCTCCCATCCTGGGTCAATGTGGAGCTTGGGGGTCAGTCTGGGGCTGCGCTGTAAGCATTCGGGAGACTCGGGGGTGAAAACAGTGGGCTGGGAGGAGTTCGAGCCAGGCAGCCACTGACCCGCCAGCTCCAGGGTTTCCTTTGCCTGAGCACTTACCAACCGGCCGCAGCAGTGCCCGCCCGCCCGTCCCGCGTGAGGACAGCGCAGGGGGTGTCCTGAGCTCCAGGGCCCGCTGCGTCCTCGCACTCAGCTGGTTCAGGTGCATGTACATGAGCGTGCGTGTGCATACGTGTGTGTATGTGTATGTGTACTTATTTCTGTATATGTTCTGGTTCCACTGCTTCACTTTGGCTGTCTTCCAACCTGCTCCAGAACTTTTTCAGAATTATTTCTTTACTTCACCTTGAACTCGAGATGAGTAGTTTGAACAATGACAGTGTCATCTCAAAGATTTGTGTTTATATTAAAGTTTGGGAGTGGTCTGGTACAGAACGGCACTTGCTGTTAGACTCAAAAAAGTCGAAAGGGCATTGTTAGCCTGTGTCCAGTTTTGTGAACAATGTGTTATCCTATTGTCTCTATATCTGCAATGTCTCAAAATTTTAAAAATCTAAATATGTTATCTATCAAAAACGAAGTTGTAGAAATACATATGGCGTGTGTACAGTGGTCTGGGTGGATGGGCGCTGGGCACTTTAACTGTGAAGAAGAGACATGACTTCTGCCTTCTTGCAGAGAACTCAGTGTGGGAGAGCACACATGGACCACCTTGATTTTCTCATTATATTCTTCAGATACACTCGGTTTCCCCAGTGTCTCACTGTCTCACCGGCTTCCTCATTCCCCATAGATATTCTGGCCTGGGTCTCCCCATCCGTATTCATGCCGTTCTGAGTGCCAGGCACTGGGCTGGTCAATGGTCCCCATTCCTTCTCTGTTATTAAAACCAGAATAGTATGCCTAACTTCCAGTTGAGAGTAAGTATGTTATTCCTTATTTTTCAAAGAGTGTCAGGATCACAGGCATGTGGTTGGTTCTCTGTGCACTGGTAACATCTCCTCTGAGAACTCTTTATGCACTTGAAACGTGATTTATTCTTCGAAGATCTTTATCACTAGAGAGACTACCATTACTTAGATTCGGGGTCACGACTGCACAGAACTCTTCCTCTCCTCCCTTCCAGTGGCGAAGATGAATTTGGAGAACGTGGATATTCTGTTTGCTGGAGTCGGCATCTCACTGGATTTGATGGGGTTCTAATCCTTGAAGACACTGGTTCTTGTCATCCCATAAAATATCATATCACTTTCTTTTTTTTTTTATCCTCACCTGAGGACATTTTTCCATTTTTTGTTCAGATAGAGTGGGAAGGAGAGAGAGAGAGAGAAACACTGACGTGAAAGAGATACATAGAGTGGTTGCCACCCGCACAACCCAACTAGGGCCGGGGACACACTGCAACCGAGGTACGTGCCCTTAGTGGGAACCGAACCCGGGTCTCTCTGGACTGCAGGCCAACGCTCCAACTGCTGAGCCAAACCGGCCAGGGCTCATATCACTTTCTAATGGTTCCTGAAGATGTACTGGGTGAGACCTGGGCATCAGTATTTTTAAAATTCCCAGGCGACTGCAATGTTCAGCCAAGGTTCAGATTTGTTGGCCTGTTCATAACTAGACCACACGGATGTGTGGCATCTCCAGAACTGGGTGTGAAAAAGTCTTCGTCATTTTCCAAGAAGGTGCATGGCTTATCTCAGATTCCCAGACATGCTCACAATAAAAAAAGCAAAAGCAAAAAAAAAGCCTACAAACCACATCTCAATGATACTGTGTACTGATAGGCTTGAAGTATCAGAGCATCTGCGTCTACTCCTAGTCCAGAACTCTTAACACCTTTGTGTCCTGCTGAGAGACAAAATACAGACATCCTTGCCTTTGGTGTGGAGGGACTAATCCGTCACTTCTGCCTTGTAGTTTGTGGTGCAGACATCGGGGGAACCTGGGGGGAAGAGCAGCTCTTAGGCACGTGTCTCTCCCTGTTCTCTGCTCTTTTAGTTGCCATGGCAGCATGAAGCCAGGTATGACTTCATGCCTCAGGAACTCTCCCAAGGTGTCCACAGTGTTCCATCAACCTTTAGTTCTCTGTGTCTACTCATGCGTTCTTTTTCTTCAACACCAAGGAAGAATTGAACAGCTTTGCTCTTTGAATAATATGCCCAAGTCTGTCAATTTTCTGCCCTCTCTTTGCAACCTCTAGTTGGAAGGAATGAACAGTATGGCATGTGGTAAAAAGCCCAACACCATAAAGACTAGCAACTTCCGTCCTAGGGAGCAAAGAGGGAGGAGCAGAAGGAGTTTTTTGTGAGCGGATTCCCAATCAGGGAGTGAAAAACAGATGATTGGATTAGAATGTTACTCCTCGGTGACACAGTGACTGACTGGGTCAAGGCATTGAGCATCCACAGCTGCGGATGTCACTAAAAGAGAACTCAGACAAGTGCCTTCTGATGAAAGAACCGCGCAGTATCTCTCACCAGAGGGACGAAAGCCAGTCCTCTGTCCCTGTGTTCAGCCACCAGTGCCCGGGACAGGGAGGGCAGTGGGATGTGTCTAACTTCATCAGATGTGCAGGCAGCAAAATCTGGCACATTCTAAGGTCCAGGCCCTGGCTTCTTTGATCGTTAAGCTATAAGGTAAAAAAAGGCATGGAGCGGGGAACCCAGATATTCTAAGACTTAAAAGACAAACACGTTTTCAGAAAATGGCAAGCCTGAACTATAATGCCTAGGGGTGATGCACACTTAGGTAATAAATATAAAGAAGGGTAAGAAAGTGACAACTCTGAAATCGTAGTTACTCTGTGGGGAGAGGAGAAGGCTGATGTGTGACGGTATATTAAGGGGATGCCTGGCAAAGTTCGATTTCTGGACCTTGGTGAAAGTTACAAGGGTGTTCACCTAATAATAACTCACCAATCTATTAGAATAATAATGTACATATGTCAAATCATTACACCCACAACTAATATAATATTACATGTCCATTATATCTCAATAAAAATGAATAATAATGAGGACGTTTAGAGTTTGAGGCAAGGATAAATCTTGGGATGTTATATATGCCCATGGGTGCTGTAAAGAGGCATTTTCTCACGTAAATGACCATCATTTAATACATGATTGCCAGTTGCTCCACAGTATTGCCTCACGATAAGGATGTAGCATCATTCAGGTAACAATCCCATCTTTGGATTGAGTTTACTAAATCTTGGTTCTGACTTGAAAGGTGGGAAAACATTGAGACTCCACCATGATCATTGGTTTTTCAACAGCTATTCACTAAATCTCATTTAGGTTCAGTAGCCTGTGCTAGGCCCTAAGTCAAACTCACACTGAAAACAATCCCGTGAAGAGGGCGGGTGAGGGCGGGAAGAGGTAAACCAAAGAACTTTGCATATATGTATAACCAATGGACACAGACAACAGCACTGTGAAGGTGGGGAGCGGGGCACGGGACTGGGGAGGAGGGTGTCAAAGGGGAAAAAAGGAGAAACACCTGCAACAAAAATTAATTAATTAAAAACATAAAACATCTCTTATCTCAAAAAAAGAAAAGAAACCAGACCTGAGACATTTGAACATCCTCACATGTTTGTGACGCGATCGCCCTCTAGTGGCTACTGTAAATCAAGCTAGGGAGTGAATCTAATAAAAAAGCTTCTTGATATAAATCATAGAATTTGAGGTTGGCAGATATCATGCGAGTTTCTCTTGTTTAGCACTCTGTGAAGAATGCCTTATGAAGGAATAAATCACAAGATTCAATCAATCTTACCACAGTCAATAAAGATCTCCAGAATAATAAATGATCAAAACTTAATCCACTCATCTCCCTTGGTTCTGAAACACAGGTTATATAGCTTATGCCAGATCAAAAGCTGTAAGTTCTCCACACATCCAAAGAGAGAAAAATTTATCCATGTGATATACTTATTAATCAACTAAATGAAACACACTGACACAAAGTTAAAACTTGATAGGATGGTAGAAGAAGAGAAAGAAAAGGCATGCAAGGGAAAAAAAAAAACATTAAAAATCTGTGTGAATGATCCCATTTGGTGAAATTATAAGTATATTTTTAAAATTAGGAAAAATATTGAGTTGAGCTGTATCTACTCACTTGGAAATGGCCATGATAAATAAGCAACAACAAGTTGAAGAGTACTAGGAATAGGACAATTATGCTTTGGCAAAGATAAACACGCTCTGTGTGTGTGTGTGGAGGCTCCTCTGCATAGACACGAGAAGCATGGAAGGATTCAAACTCCTCTGTGGGTTGGAGGGAAAGCGAGAGAATGGGGAGATGATGAACTTTTACTTTATGCATCTTTGTACTGCTTTTATTGTTAAGAGGAAAATTCATTTTAAAAATAATATGAAATAAAAATATACAAATGTTTCTCCTCTTTCATAATAAAAAAAATGATGCATGGAACCAACCTCATACCCTCTCTGTTTCCTTTTTAAATTTTTTTATTTTTTTCAATTATACTTTATATTCAATATTATTTTGTATTAGTTTCAGGTATACAGCATAGTGGTTAGGCAATTCACGTACTTTGCAAAGTGTTCCCCATGATATTTCCAGTATCCACCGGGCACCATACATAGTTATTGCAGTAGCATTGACGCTATTGCCTATGTTGTACTACCTTCTCTGTTTCTTTCTCTCCTCTCCACCCGGTCCTCATCCTCAAGAGTGTGCCAACACCACAGTGTCATCACACATTTCCCTGCCAGACTGAGCCTGCTACACATTGTCATGAAGCTTTCCACCGGGCCAATGTGGGCTTCTTATCAACACAATCTCAGTGAAGCCCTCAGATTCTCTTCAAAATATGCTTTTATTGTTTAAATCTTTTTTTAGAGAGGAAGGGAGAGAGTGATAGAAACATCAATGTGAGAGAGAAACATCAATCAGCTGCCTCCTGCACCCTTCTTACTAGGGATCAAGCCTGCAACCTGGACATGACCCTGACCAGAAATCGAGCCCGGACCTCAGTCCATGGGATGGTGCTCAACCCATTGAGCAACACCGGCTGGGCAGCCCTCAGATTCTTAAGGACATAGTACTGGAGCTGTTTTAATATTTCACCCCAGTTCTTATTGCCAGTCTTATTTGCATGCACACATACTACTTCCTAGTCAAATAATTAAATTTAATTGGAATAATTATTGTTTAATAAGGCATGAAGTCTTCAGTCAGCTTGGGCTGATTCTAGGAAGACACATACTTGATTACCTCTCTCATCTCCAACCTGTTCATGTTCTACCACAGCAGCCTGCATGTGTGTCTTGCTCTGAAGAGTTGTGGAGTGCCTCAGTGGTGGGGACTACAGTTTTTATTAGTTTTACTTTGTAAGTGCTTAGGATAGTTCTTGACACTTCCCCACTCCTTTCCTGCCTTCATTCTGGCACTGTCCTTGGTGCTGACTTTGAGATGAATAAGTGTAGTCTTATTTCTCAAAAATCTTCTATTTGTGTGGGGGCAGCAAGTAAATAAAGAATGCAGCAGAGAGTAATGAGCAGGAGCCTGCCTAAGATGCTGTGGAACTCAACAGAAACTCAGACTGGGAGTGGCAGGTCTTCCTGGAGGAGGTGTTTATGATGAGTCCTGCAGAGCAAGGAGGAGTTAGCTTAGTGGGGAGGATGGTGAGGATCATTCCAGGAAATTAGTGCTCTATATACCTGGCAGCTAGAACCATAACTGAATTTGAGGGGTGGTTGCAAGTACGTCCATAGAAGACATGGGTAAGAGAGGAGGTAACAGGGCACACAAAAGCATGCAATTCTTAAAACATCTGGTGTTGCCAAGGAAATACTACTGATGGGATGGTCATAGGCAATAAGGCTGAAAAGTTAGGGTGTGATTGGAGTGTGAAGTAGCCAACTGGATGCCAACCTAATGGGTTAGGATTTTATCCCATTGACAATGATAGCTAACAGGTCTCAGGCCCCTGTGCCCCTGAAATCTTGTAGCTTTATATTTAAATCCATTGATCAACAATGAAATGTAGAAAAATCATTAATTGCCAACTTAGCCAAATTCAGTATTTTGTTGTTGTTAATCCTTACCCAAGGATATTTTTCCATTGATTTTTTTTTTTTTTTTTTCAGATAGAGTGAAAGGGAGGTAGGGAGAGTGAGGAACACCGGTGTGAGAGAGACACATCAGTTGGTTGCCTCCCACATGGCCTTGGTTTGGGATTGAAATTGCAACCCAGATATGTGCCCTTGACTGGGAATCGAACCCACGACCGTTCATTCCATGGGCCGATGCTCTAACTGTTGAGCCAAACCAGCCAGGACAAAATTAATTGTTGTTTTTAAATGGCTGTGAAGATGATGAGGAATATACTAGTTTAGAACTAATGAATGAATCAGAAAAAAAACAAAAACAAATTGAAGTGAGCAAGAGAATCACTAAAGAGAGTCACTTTCAGATAAATTGAGCCAAAGGGAAAAATGAGAAGGACTTTCTAAACCATCCTAGGCACTGTGCTAGCAGCCACATACACAGAAATAAATCTTGGTTTGGCACTTTATTAACCAAATTACTTATCTTTTGATAGCAATGTTATATACTGCTTGCATTCTAGTTTTAGTGACTTTGAAGAGAAAGTAGACTTCAACTTTGTAAGTTTTTAAGAAATTGTTTCATATGTGGAATTAACATATGTATGTGTCTGTACATGTGTCTTCTTGGTAGGTCGATGTGAACCAATTACGTTGGAACTCTGCATGAACTTGCCCTACAACCATACAACTTACCCCAATTACCTTGGCCACAGGACTCAGAAGGAAGCATCCATCAGCTGGGAGTCCTCTCTTTTCCCTGCACTTGTTCAAACCAACTGTTACAAGTATCTCATGTTCTTTGCCTGCACCATCTTGGTTCCGAAGTGTGATGTGAACACAAGCCAGCGTATTCCCCCTTGCAGGTATTATGATGGGTCTCTCCCAAACATCCCCATTTCCCCTGGGGAGAGGCAAGGGAAGGAAGGCTTAGTCTGAGTTTAGACAAAGTGCGTATCTTGCTAAGAAGCTCTGCATTTAACAAATTACATATTTAAAAGGTAAAGAAGGAGGAATTCTAAAATGAATAGTTGAATGAAAATTCATTTCTGGAGTACCAGGTGAGGGAGGTATGAACTGCTTTCCATAATAGTTTCTGTATTCTAATCAAATAAAACCAGGTGTGCCATTTAGATTGATCAAGAAGTGTTTTTAAAGATGTGAGTTAGCAGAAGATGGGATGCATCTGCCTCTTTCTCTGGCAACATTGATGTGTTCAAAATGCTGCCTTCTTTAAAAAAAATTTTTTAATTGATTTTAGAGAGAGAGGAATAGAGGGAGAGAGAGAGAGATAGAAACATCGCCAAGAGAGAACATTGATTGGCTGCCTCCTATACACCCCTCACTGGGGATTGAGCCCACAGCCTGGGCATGTGTCCTGACTGGGCACTGAACTGGTGACCTCTTGGTGCATGGGTCAGTGCTCAACCACAGCCACACCAGCTGGACAAAATGCTGCCTTTATATAGCACTCAAAGGTTAGATATGTTTCATGGGAGTGGCCCGAGGGAGACACTTCACAGGCTGGACAGGGGACGGACGTCGCTGATGATTTTCTTCCTGCTTGAATGAAATAAGGAACAACATGTCAGGAATGCAGCTTGGACCCAGACATGAGTGATATCCTGTGGGTTAAGAACATTTCTATGGAGTCCACTGTCTGATTCAAGCCCCGGCTCTTCTCTACCTGGGGTACAGCCTGAAAGAGGGTCCTCGGCTTCTCCCAACCTCATTTCTGTACCTGTAAAATCAGGATACTAATGGTTGTGAGATTAAATGAATGTGCATAAATGTAAAGTGCTCCCCATTGATTGTAAGCCCTGGACAAACAATAGCTCTGAAGACAGGACAGGAACGCAGCTGCATGCTCAGTGGTGGTGCGGTCCCTCCTCTGGGCCGCGTGTTAGGGGCTGTCGTCGGAGGACACGCAGGTACAAGACGGCTACCGCGAGCTGGCTTGCTGCTCCCCCCAGTGCTGTTTTCCATCAAGGGGTTTATCTACAGATGTGCTTGTCTACATGAGAGTGGTAACTATGGAAACCATATGTCGGGATCAGAAGTCACTTGGAGGTTTAAGAAAAAGCAATAATATCTATATGGTGGACAGATGGGAAAACAATAAATTATATGCAGAATGTTAAATGGATGACAAGGTAGGTGCACCCAAAGAGTGAGGCAGGAAATGCTAAAGTTTCAAAATGACTTGGGGACCTGAGCAATTTATACAAATAGAATAAAACTTAATGTTGGTTTGTGCAAATGTAATTCTAAAAATTTCTGTTAAATGTTTCTTATAGTATCACTAATAAAATATCTACCAGTTTTATGTTACATAGTTCTAAACCTTATTTCACTTTTGCTAGGCAAGGTCAAATGTAGGGAATAATTGCTTTTAATAGTACTTAACAAATTCTTGTATTTGACTTTCTTTTCATATGTATATAAAATTTTTCGTAATGCAGCATTCTCTGGAACAAATTTATTTTCACATATAATTTATAATTTCAGGCTTAAATTTCCTATCTAAATGCCTAAGATGAGACAGATCCTCCAACAGTTTTCAGTCAACATTTTGGTGAACTTCTTTTGGATACTTTAGGTCTGTTTCTTAGGTTTATACGTACACATACATCTGTCATTTTCTCTAGATATCAGAATGAATGTTCCATTTTTGATATTTATTTGGAGGAAAAACTTTTTACCTCCAGACAAGAATAATAAACTAATATTCAGGCAGCAATACATAGTTGCTTTCGTCAACCCTGTTTGTTTATTTTAAAATTAGTTTTTAAGTTATGAGTCAGAAAAATCTAACATTCTCAAGCCCTTACTTTGTGCTAAATACTTCAAGGTACTCTGCCATCCCATCCTCAAAATCACCTTTTGAGGGGGCCCCTCCCCTCAGGCTGCTGTCTGTGGCTGAGCACCACACAGTCAGGGGCAAGAACAGTGCCCCTTGCAGTTGCCGTGCTGGGTATTGTCCTGTTTCCATTTTATGGAAAAAATAGGAAATGGTAGAGTCAGGCACTACACAATCGTCCATATAAATTAGGCATTATATGATTAATTTAGATATCAGCAGCGATTGAGTTATATACACTTTTTATAAATCTGCAAAAAAACTGTTCAATCCAACAGAAAGTGGTCAAACACGTTGAACTTCCCGTTTTTGCAAAATGGATATGGGAACACATGGCTTTGTCCCCCCCCCCCCAAATTCCTTGGCTAAGCCAGTGTCGAGTTATGCTCTGTCTTGTCCAGACTTAAATCTAGACAGCGCTTTCTCTGAGCTTCCTGACTGCTAACCATTCCCTACTTTGTTGAAATTAACTTCTAGTTTAAAATTTGAGGCTTTTGACAGATAAAATATATATTTAAAAGGCAATAAAAAATTTGCCCAGGGACTTGCTTTGGCTGTGTCTACTTTATAAAAAAAAAATATTTAACTAATTTCTTGGTAATATATTGAAGCAAAACCATGTTTTTCCCTTATGGGAAGTAAAGATATCTTTCATAAGACATGTTGATACAGCAATTTAAAAATATTCTGTGTACAAATGAGAACACAAAAGAAAGCACCTAGCAAAATGTTTGGTATCTTTTCTTAAAAACAAGAACAACAACAAACTTTTTTTAACCAACTTGAGCTCAGCGTAGATGGGTTTGGGAGAAGTACCAAGCTTTTGAGCAGTATTGGTCTAAGCTGAAGGAATGGAGGCAACGGATGTCTGACGTCAGCCAGGTTTTCTCATGAAAGGGCTTACAGGCTGGTCTCTGGAGCGAGACCCCTGAGGCCGTGGGTGTCGTGTAGATCCCATGACCGCTGGCGGCAGACTATTCAGACTGATACTGGAGACTTCCCAGTTTGGAACAAAAATGTTGGAGAATGTGTCTGTCTTAGAAAAAAAGGAAGGACAATGAGAAAGGCAAAATGAAGAAGGTAATCTGCATCCTAGATGTTGCTTAGGGCACAGACTTGCAACCAGTAGGCAAATAGGTCCTGGAGATCTAATGCACGGTCCTGGGAACACAGGCAACTAGATTGTGTTGCAGTCGTCAAACTCACTAAGGATCTAGATCTTAATTATTCCAAACACAAGAAGAAATGATAATGATGTGATAGGGGTGCTAACTATAGCTACAACAGCAATTTTAGTACAATATATAAACATATCAAATCAATATGTTTTTCTTGTTAACTTTACACAATGCTATGTCAAATATATTTCAATAGAACACATAAAACAAATCTATTTCTATCTATACAGTGACATTTCTTTTGGTGAAAGTCTGTTGCTGGAATGTATTATTTTTGTAGGGATATTATTCGTGTTGGTTTCCCACATGGCTGTTATGTGTATGTGCATCTATATACAAGGGTGGGCAAAAGTAGGTCTACAGTCATTCAAGTGGAAAATAATACATTACTAAATACTGATAAAAGAATAAACTTTGTTTCACTCCAACTGTATGCTTACTTTTGTCCACCCCTGTGTATTGATACACATGCACAGCAAACAGACACACACCCACACAGTATTAAAACCCGACATAGATCCCTAACATATGTCTCAGTGTAGTTATTTCTGCTTTTAATGTTTTGTCCTTCCTGCTCTTTCAGGGCCCTGTGTGAACACTCCAAAGAACACTGCGAGTCTGTCCTTGGGATTGTGGGCCTACAGTGGCCTGAAGACACAGATTGCAGTCAGTTTCCAGAGGAAAATTCAGACAATCAGACCTGCCTCATGCCCGATGAAGATGTGGAAGGTTCATTTTTAAATTAATCTTAGTTGGGTATCTAACATGGATGAATGTATTAGCTACTTTTGGAAATCTCTCTGTTGCTTTTGTTGTTGTTGTTGTGTTTTCTTTCTATGTTCCAATCAGGCTGCATAGGTGAGTGAATCTACTAACTTGATTGCTTTGAAGAATTTGGTATTTCTTGTTATGGTCTTCATTTTAAAAATAAATTGCAGAGATGAATTTAATACTCCAAGTATTTATTTGAACCACATTTAACTCACAGAGCCCATTACAAATGGATGCTGCTCCTATACTAGGGATTCTGAAGGTAATGGTTAGGCCTTGGTTCCTTCGAGTGCAAAGCATTTGGAGATCTTTGCGATATAGGATCTTCAGGCAGAGAAATGGAATTGGGGACTGTCCCCCAGGTGGGAAGATTAGAGTAGGAAACAACTTTGATACTGTAAGAGCAGCAGGCACTTGGACGCATTGACTCCACAGGACATTTTGGGCTCTGGTAATTGTTAGGATGTCCATTCAGGAAGATCGTTAATTACTGGAAAGTGTAAAGACATCGAGCAGCTGAGCTGGGCGCGTGGTGCCGTGGAGGAAGGAGGAAGATGCTCACAGCAGACAGAAGGCCATGTTAACACCGGCTGTTTCCACTTTGCAGGGGACCAGCCTTATCTCCAGTAACAGCTCCTTGATGACATTCCACACGTAAATAGATAAATGAGCTGATGATTCTGAGTTTCCTGTTTATCGACAGTAATATGTCCCACTGTTTTCAACAGAGTGCTCACCTAGTCACTTCAAGTGTGGCTCGGGACGGTGTGTTCTGGCCTCCAGAAGGTGCGACGGCGAGCCCGACTGTGACGATGACAGTGATGAAGAAAACTGTGGTATGTGGGTGACATGGCACTTCTCTTGGATATACTAACAACTGGTTAAGATAAGGGACTGTATTCAAAAAAATTTGAACTGTTCACTGATGGTTGTTGGTAGCGATTAGGATTGAATGCTAATATATTATCTTAAATTATCAAATGGCAAGGCATGAATTGATGTGTTTTTCCTGTTAACTCAGTTGATTTCCCCTAAATTAAACTTCTATTTATAACCTTGATGATATATGCGCAAACCCTTAGGAGAAAGAGAAGCACCTCACTAATGTACGGAATTATTTGTGTTATTAGAGGTTAGAGAGCAGTTGCTGTCTGTCTTTGCATGTGATTCTCATGTTGTTAGATAGGCAGCTAGATACGCAGAGACAGAGTCCAGGCTCCAATGTTCAGTTTTAACTGGGGCTTACTGTCACGCCCTCTCCGATGTTGTGTCTGTTGGCAAAGGATAAAACTCTTCCTGGAGCCCTGGCCGGTTTGGCTCAGCGGTTGGAGCGTCGGCCTGCGGTACAGAGAGACCCGGGTTCGGTTCCCGCTAAGGGCACGTACCTCGGTTGCAGTTTGTCCCCGGCCCTGGTTGGTCGTGTGGGTGGCAGCCACTCGATGTGTCCCTTCGCATCGATGTTTCTCTCTCTCTCTCTTCCTCTCTCTCCCTCCTGCTCTATCTGAACAAAAAATGGAAAAATGTCCTCGGGTGAGGATAAAAAATAAAATTAAAAACAAAACAAAAAAAAAAAAAAACTCTTCCTGGAGCTTCTGCTATAGAGCTCCAAAATCACTTGTGGAAAGGCCAGGCAGGCCAATAACAACTTAAGGGGAGCTAATTCCTGTTTTATTTCTCTACAAACCTTTATACTTGTAACTTCAGAATGTGTCAGAGAATAGAGACGGACAATGCTTTGCACTAAACAATATTCTGGAGTAAAGCAAAACAGCCAAAGGGCTATCCAAAGGCTAGTTTGATTATGATGATTTAGCTCATTCTGCTTTAAAAATAATGGACACTTTTTTTTTTTTTTTAACCATTAAAAGCACATAGGGTAATACATCTTTCGAAATCATTGTATTCTTTTGGCCTTTTAGGTATAAATACTAACTTGCTCTCCAAAATGAATTTTCTATACCAAACATTGCCCTTCTGGTCTAGACAAAATGTCACAATCAGTCAACTGAAATCCTATCAGCTGCTATAAACTTGGACAAGCGCATCTTCTAGGCAACGAGAGCTGTCAGAATAATGGTGCAATGACCGGGGGTAATTTCGTTAGGGAGGAACATCCAATGCTTTGAGAAGCTACTGTTGTGTGCTTGTCTTTAGGCAGAGAAATAAATAAAAACTCATAGGATATCCCTTATGTAAGTGATTTATTGAGAGTCTATTGAATTTGTTTGCTAAATGATGACTGATGAATTATGGTATTCTAAGATGCAATTTCAAATGGATTATCTTAGATGGTTCAAAGAGGTTACATGGTACTCCACTGGGGAGGCTGAACCTATATTTGCAGTAGGGTACCAAATATTTGAGAAATGTAAAAGTTTAGTTTGAAAAGAGTGTATTGCCAATACTAAAAGATCTGAGTTCTAGAATATATTTTGCAAAAAAAGAAATTCAAAGCACTATATGATTTAAATCACCCTAAAATATCAGGTTTCTAAGTAAATAATGAGTTGTTGTTGTTGTTTTTATCCTCACCCGAGGACATTTTTCCATTTTTTTGTTCAGATAGAGTGGGAGGGAGAGAGAGAGAAACATCGACGTGAAAGGGACACATCGAGTGGCTGCCACCCGCATGACCCAACCAGGGCCAGGGACAAACTGCAACCAAGGCATGTGCCCTTAGTGAGAACTGAACTCGAGTCTCTCTGGACCACAGGCCGACGCTCTAACCGCTGAGCCAAACTGGCCAGGGCAAGTAATGAGTTTTCATCATTTTAATCACACAATCAAAACGATGAAAGAGATTGATCCTTATCAAACACCCACAATATTGATGGCAGGCACTACTGAGAGCTTTAGTTAAAAAGTTAAAAGTGTGGGGGGATTAATACATTTGGAGTTACATTAATTGCTCCAACAGTATTAAGTCAAGAGAAAAGTCACCACCTTTTCCAAAGTGACTGATAATGGAAAATTTACATGCATTGCCCTCTGAGATGTTTGCACACCTTTGAATGGGCATGTCTGATGTTCTGGGAGGACACAGCATTCAAAATCAAACAAGGAAATCACATGATGGAAGGCTCAGAGGGGCACTCGGGAAATCACCCAGTTCCCATTTTACCTACTCGCTCAGTTTGTCTTGTTTCCATGGGCCTGCACGTGCATAGCATCTGGCCATGCAGCCACCAGCTCTGGCGAAGCTGGGTTCTCCGCAGGCTTCAGGTGTTTCTGATGCAGTCTGTCCGTTGTGGAATTGAAAGCACAAAAATGCTCGGGCTTCACTGAATGATGTGACAATTAACTATTCACTCTCTCACATCTGCAGCTCCCCCCAGAACTTCTAAAAACGTTTGGGATTCCCCTTCTTAAAGCAAGACTTGTATTTAATCTAGTTATAAAATAATTGATGTTTTGGAAATTCACTTTGTGTCTTTCTGGGACACAAGCAGGGAAACAAGGTGGCCAAAGCATACCATGAATAAATACACTGTAAAATATATACATTAGAATTTGGCAATGAACTGTGTTCTGAAGTCTCCTGCTCACGTGGTCAGTTTTAGTTGAAGTCGTTTTCATGGTGCAATTGCTAATGTAAACAGCAGTTGACAATTTGTCAGTCTTTCCTGGAAACGAGAGAGACTTCTCGTTCCTTCTATGAAATGAAGTTCCACTTCGAATACACGTGTTGAGGACCTGCCAAGTGCTAGCCACTCTTCTGGGCAGGGGTGAAAGGTACCCAAACATGAGTGCCCTGGGGTTTCTTCCTTCATGTACCTCCCAGGCTGGTGAGGGCTGCGGGTCTAACTGGATTGACAAGAACACATTAGACTCTTGGCATGTTTTAGCAGATGCATGACACACACTGCGTTCCATTCAAACTGCATTAAGTTCATGGTAAGCACTTCCATTTCATATGCAAATTACAGTCCAAGCTTATGGTCTGGATCTAGTGCAAATTGTGTTCGTTTCCTAAAGTTTCTAACCTTAGAGCTCTGGCCACATTACTCAAGTAAGTAACAGCTTTCATATCTGGCTCTTAAACTTGTTTTGTACGTATTTGACATAGGCTAAACACACAGATGGCTTCTACATTTGTGGGCCGAAATTATATTTTTATTTTTATTTTTTTATCCTCACCCAAGGACATTTTTCCATTTTTTTATTCAGACAGAGCAGGAGGGAGAGAGAGGAAGAGAGAGACAGAAACATCGATGTGAAAGGGACACATCGAGTGGCTACCACCCGCATGACCCAACCAGGGCCGGGGACAAACTGCAACTGAAGTACATGCTCTTAGCGGGAACTGAACCCTGGTCTCTCTGGACTGCAGGCTAACGCTCTAACCGCTGAGCCAAACTGGCTAGGGCTGAAATTACATTTTTAGATAATATGCAGGTAGATCACTAGGTTTTGGCATATTTGTCTGAAAGCGTAGCTCACCATTTTAGAGATGAGTCTTATGTGTTGGCGATTAGACTCGGACAGCAACAGGAACACTCGAAGATGATAGTTCACGTGTAATTGCTTCTTCATTTCCCTCCATTTCCGACATGTCCCATTTGATCTTCTGTTAGCAGCGCTGTATGATTTATAGTGCAGTAGAGATTATCAAGTATTTCTACTTTCAATATTATATTTTTGTAGTATGCAGGAGTCAAAACTCTTTAAGAAAAAAGAAATCAGGCCTTTATGTTGCAATTTTTCTGCATTGCTTGCTCAAGTTCATCTTTATTTTCACCTCCACATCTATTGCCTGTGACCTTGTCTTCTGTCTGCAGGCTGTAAAGAGAGAGATCTGTGGGAATGTCCATCCAATAAACAGTGCTTGAAGAACACAGTCATCTGTGATGGGTTCCCAGACTGCCCGGATAGTATGGATGAAAAAAACTGCTGTAAGTGCTTATATGAACCTGTCAATGCAGAAAATTATTTTGAATATAAGCCAGAAATTTGGAAATATGTGTCAAAAGCTTTTATCATGTTTAGACTTTATGATCAAAAGTCCACTTGTAAGAATATAGGCCAAGAAGACAGTCAAACATATATGAAATATATGCACAATAGAATCCTAGCAATATTTATAACAGAAAATATAAAATACTACAAATATCTAAAAATAGAGGACATAAACTACAACCATAAAATGAAATAATATGCAAAAATTAAAAATCAACTTAGAAGAATAATTTCTCTTGGGTTCATTACATATCACTAGGTGAATAAAATAAAATAAAATATAAAGTATTATGTGTATAATGTTCCTGAGTTTTGAAAGTACATATACCCACATATACAAAAAGGTCAGAAGGTCATAATAAAAAGTTTACAATTATAACCCCTGGGTGGTGGGATTATTAAGGGTTTTGTTGTTGTTGTTTTTGTATTTTCTATCTTTTCTAAATGAGTGGCCACTTCTTTTAGAATCAGAAAAATTGTATCTCTTAAGATATTTTGCCTACTGGTTATAGAAAGTCCAACTCAAGTTGACTTAAACAATAAAGATCCTTATCATCTTTATTGGTATCTATATTATCTGTAATATATTATCACAGGAAAAGTCAAGTGTAAGGGGGATTCTTGAGGCTGGATGTGGGACTTAAGCACTTCTGTGATTCTCTTAGTTCAGCTTGACCTCAGGCTGACTCTCACCAGAGGTAAAAGGTGGCTGCCAAGAGCACATGTCCTTGATCATAGGAGAAGCTTGCCCTCATCTCTTAAACATCAGTTAGGGATTCACTCAGATTAGCCAAATTTGAGCCGGTCCCCGATAACAATTAGGAGCCTTTGTGTAGATCACAAATGAGCTGAAATGCAGCTCCTCAGGGAGAACCAATTAGAAAAGGAGGCTGAGCACCTCCAGGCCACCTCTGTTGCAGGCTTGGACACATGGCCTGGCCAGCAGGCTCTGGACAGGAATTATCTTGCAATGTACAACCCACAAAACCATAGACCAAGACCCTGACCTTGGATCACATATTCACTATTGGACTAATAACTATTCTCAGAAAAAATTCATTGTGATCAGAAAAATGCATGTCCCACTTAAACTACTCACAATCTTCCTCTGGAGCTGGGATGGTGTGTGTGTTGGGTAGCGGAGGGGGGGGGGGTGTCAGGGGTGGTGAACAAAATCAGTATTCCTTAGAAAAGGAGAAAGAAAGGAGATGGATGCTAGGTAGGCAACCAAAGAGTTCCACTATGATTTTTAAAAACCCAAGAGAATTAGATGTGACTCAGAGTCATCTAACAGTAGAGATGTTGAAAACATAGACATCATCCACATATGTGGACAGAGCTGGCTTCCACCCCCAGTGACTCCAGTCTGCTCATCCTCTGTGCTCTGCTCATGACACTTCGGAGTTTAACCCTGTTCTCTACTTTCTGGTATTTCTACTGTTCAAGGTAGATTGTTTCAATCCTGCTGTTAGAACAAGAGAATCTAGTCATGTAGAGATAGTAGTTCTGTTTAAATGCTTGCTATTCGGATGGACTGACATCTATGAAATGAGATTTTACCGATTCTGTTCATTTGTCTTGCCACCTGTTTGGAGGCCTCGGTGACCTCATCCTCTCTTCTTTGCACGTTCCTGCTGGAAAAGGCTAACATGCATGTTAGTGATGATCACATTTATTTGTGAAATGTTTTTGTCGTCTTGTTTTTCTTCCCTGTGCCAGCGTTTTGCCAGGAAGATGAACTGAAATGTGCAAACCACGAGTGTGTGTCACGGGACAGGTGGTGTGATGGCACAGCCGACTGCTTGGACAGTTCGGACGAGTGGGACTGTGGTAAGCTGCTTGTGTCCGCCACCTGCTGTCCACTCAGCTACAAGAAGCCTGAAGAACTGCACAGGTTTTCCTAACCACATTCACCTGTTTTGCTTTACTTTTGTTAAAGCTGACAGTGGTGATTCATATATGCTATTTCCAAGTCACAGAAATTCCCCTCAAGTTACTTCTCTATTTGAAATGTCTGCATTGTGTATAAAAACACTGTCGTTCATATTGTTATGGCCATGTAACGGCTGGATTTTCCTTTCTAAATGTATCACCTAGCTTCAGTGATGATCCCTACTCTGTTATTCTCGTATTATTGACACCTCCTGCAATAGGATGTTCAAGTGGCCCTTCCATCTCCCCTCTGGGCTTGTCTACATCCGCCTGGGACTGGTACCTGCTAATCCTTCGTGTGGCAGAAGCGAAAAGCCTCTCCCAGCAGCACCTCCAACGTTTCCGTTTGTAATCTTGAGTTGGAGTAATTCCATCACCCCACGCTCATCACTCCTACCATTCACTTAGCGCTTACTTCAGTCCTTGGTCATCTGTCCGAGCCACACTTGCAAATGCTCACAAACGATCTGCAGTTTACGGAGTACAGAGGGTGTTTATTCATATAATAGAAATTAGTGCACATTAATCCTAAATTAATGTCACCATCACACATTCGCGTTCTCATATGCTTTCTTGAGAGGAAATGATATGAAGTTACAACCAGCTTCTTAGAGTTATGCAAGTCAGGGGGCGAGCTCATGGGAATGGGCCCTGCCTCTGGCCGCCTTCTCCATGAAGGCACGTTGAGAACTACCTGACTCTTCCACTGGAGCCTACGGTGTTTTGAGGGCAGAGAACATTTCTAATTCATTTTTTTTTTTTTTTTTAGTCCTCCACCATTCTGAGGGCAGTGATTTTCACAGGGTACATATTCACCAAATAGTTCTTAACTAAAGTTAATAAAAAATGAATATTCGCAAGTGAAGAAAAGCATGTGAAGTCACCATTTGGTTTCATGAGGGGAAATGTTTTTAATTAGGGTTTTCTCTTTCTTTCTCAGTGACCCTCTCTAAGAACGTGAACTCCTCATTCCTGACGGCGCACAGATCGGCCACAGAACAGCACGTGTGTGCAGACGGCTGGCAGGAGAGCCTGAGCCGGCTGGCCTGCAGGCAGATGGGTTTAGGGTAAGGTCAGTAGTGCGTAGCACTGACGAGTTTCTCAGAGGGCTTCGCGGAGCGTGGCTGTAAGATCTTCCCCGTGAATGCAGAGGGAGCGTGCTCTCACGCGGAACCCCACCGCGCGGGACATGGGTCAGGGGACAGGACCGCATTTCATGACAGGCACCTGCTCTGAAGAGTCTGGGCAGAAAATCTGCTTTGATGAAGCCTCTAAAAGTAAATGAAGGAGTTGTAGTTTAGGTATGTCTGAAGTGAGATGCTTTCATTATTTATAACAGCATTAAGAGTGTTTCCTCGGAGAAACCTGGATGGGAAAATTGTGCGATCTAACCCAAGAGGTTATTGAAAATTCCTTTTTAAAGCAACACATGTTTTTTTTTTTTTCATAAGTTTCATAAGTTGAAGTTGCTGGTATTTCAATTTACCCAAAGTAATGCAGGAAAACTAGATCAAGGATGGTTCTCCGTGTTTGCTTGCCAGTAGAACGAAAAGATACTCTGGCTTTGATATAAACACACTGAAGTAGATGCTTTGAAGGTTGTATGCTTGCTATTTTGTGGGTTTTTTTTTCTTTCAGTTCTATCAGGGATGGAAAGCAATAATTGAAGGATCTTAGAATATATATGTGAGTGTGTGTGTGTCTGTCTGTATATACATCACTGATGTATGTGAAATTTTGGGAAACTCTAGAAATGAGAGAAATAAAATAAAGGAGTTATAAAATACTAGAATAAAAAGTTGTGCTCATGGCATTTCCCAGGTTTCCACTGAGCAAACTTGAAACAATTTTACAATGATGAGCCATTCAATTGTGGAATAACAGCTAGCAGCATTTTTAAAAATCCCAGTTTGAAGAATTGCCTAAATTTCAGCATCTTCAGCCCATTTTTCCCACGTAAAGTCTTACGTCTTTGGAAAATTGAGAAACTGACGCTAATCAATAATAAAAGAACTTTCAGCTTTGCCAGAGTGGAAAGATTGTGTTTGCCAAGATCCATTCAATTATAGTTTATTTTCACAACTTCCTTATTATGTCTAAATGAAACGGGATAGGATTTGATCAAAGGTCAAAGAAAAGCCTTTTGAATGTGCTTTATTTTCCTCTCACCAAGACACAAGATTATTTCTTAATGTGAAAACTAGGTTACATAATGACAGATGACTTCATCGAGAGTTCTGAGGGGAAGTCGGAACTACAAAGATTGTACAACCAGAAAAATTCCTTTGACAAACCACCCTTTTCTACAACAAATAGAAGGGATCTTGTTTTAGATATTCTACTTTAGCCCGGCTGGTGTTGCTCAGTGGTTGGTCACTGACCCATGCCCTAAGAGGTCACCTGTTCAATTCCTGGTCAGGGCCCATGCCCATGTTGTGGGCCTAATGGGGCAGGCAGGAGTGGCCAATCAATGTTCTCTCTCATCGATGTTTCTATCTCTCTTTCCCTTCCTCTTTGTCTCTCTCTAAAATCAACAAAGAAAAAAAATTAAATATTCTACTTTATCTTTCTTCTAATATTTTGCTATTAGATTTAATTTTTTTTTTAAATACGTTTTTATTGATTGTATAGCAAGAGGAAGGAGGAGATAAAGAGAGAAACATCAGTGAGAGAGAATCATTGATCAGCTGCCTCCTGCATGCCCCCGACCAGGAACTGAGCTTGCAACCCTGGCTTGTGCCCTGGCCGGGGAATCGAACCAGAGACCTTTTGATGCACAGGACAACACTCTACCAAATGAGCCACACCAGCCGAGAGATTAAAGATTTTTATTGTAGTAAAATACACATAACATAAAAGTCACCATTTTCACCATTTTAATGGATGCAATTCAGTGATATTTAGTATATATATAATGTTGTGCAACCATCACGATTACCTGGCTTCTTTCACTTGGCATGTTTTTATGCACCCATACCGGCACTTCATTCCTGTTTATGGCTGTATGAGATTCCATTGCACAGATATACTTCATGTTAATAATCTAGTCATCTGTTGGCTATGTTGTGTGCATATTGAGTTAAGAAAACTCTTGCCCTGGCCAGTTTGGCTCAGTGGTAGAGCGTCGGCCCATGGACCAATGAGTTTCAGGTTTAATTCCAGCCAAGGGCGTGTACCTCGTTTGCGGTTCGTCCCTAGCCCTGGTCGGGGTTGTGCGGGAGGCAACCAGTCAATGTGTCCCTCTCATGTTGATGGTTCTCTCTCTCTCCCTTTCTCTCCTTCTCTCTCTCTCCTACTCTGACTGAAGATAAATAGAAAAATATCCTCAGGTGAGGATTAAAAACAAAAACAAAAACAAAACCTCTTTACTCCATTTTCTTAACATGGTGGAAAAATGACATTTCAATATTTTAGATATTTTTAAATATTTAAAATCTAAATTGACACTTAGATTTTTTTAAAAGATAATTTTATTTCACAGAAGGACTAGGAACATCTGAGAGAGCAGTCTGGTTGGGAAACCATCACCATTATTCAGCTACGTTAATGGATAAGTAGTGAGAAGTCTTCCAAGGAAATGAGTAGGAAAGGTGATCTTAGTATTGTCACACTTTGTGATGGCTTCAAGTTCACTCTTCAGTTTACTTGGGTTTCTTATGGACGGACAGAAATCTGGACAGCCAGGCTGGGGCAGGAATGAAGATAATGAGCAGGACGAGACCAGATTGCTGCCAAGGGGACGGGCTACTTAGGAAGCTGCTCTGTTAGCACTGTGCCTGGAGACCGGCTGCCGTGCTGTGAGGTCACAGTTCTGCCACTGATGTAGCCCTGTGCCTTTGGGTCATTTCCTCCAGATTCAAAGTCCCCAATAGGAGCGTCTGTCTGGCCACAACTAGTCACTGACCACACTGCAGCTGCCAGAGGCAGGGGAGAGGGCATAGCAGTCCTCCTTCAGCTTCTGGCGCGAAGTGCCCACTACACTGTCCTGCCTCTGTACCTTCAGACATACTCTGCATCAGAAACTGGAAGTTATTAAACAAACAAACAGCTAATTCTATTCAATATCTGTTCCCCATTGTGTTTTGAGCACACGTGTAGGGCCTCGTGTAGGAGCAGGCATGGTATGGAGGGCGCAAAGGTGAATGACATCATCAGAGAACTGCCAAGGTGCTGGGCAAGCAACCAAGAACATAAAGTTAGAAAACAATTCCAGACTTTTTTGTCATCTAAGAATGATTCATGTATAACACAGCACATGACATTTCTATTAAAATTATATAATGCCCTGGCCAGTTTGGTTCAGTGGTTAGAGTATCGGCCTGCGGACCAAAGAGTCGCAGGTTCGATTCTGGTCAAGGGCACTTACCTTGGTTGCAGTTTGGTCCCCGGCCCTGGTCAGGGTCGTGTGGGAGGCAACCAGTTGATGTGTCTCTATCATATCGATGTTTCTCTCTCTCTCTCCCTCCCTCCCGCTCTATCTGAAGATAAATTGAAAAAAATATGTATATCCTCAGGTGAGAATTTTTAAAAATTATGTAAGAAAAATATCCAGCTCTCAGATGATCTTTTATTATATTTATTAAATCATTCATTCATTCAATAAACATTTATAGAAAAAAGGTGTAGTGTAGAATCCAAAACAAATATGCTCTAACTCCAAATAGGTTATTCAATGACTCGAAGGGGTACATTTTTAGAACTAGTTCATAAAAAATGCAGGTCGACACTACATTACACATTTTTTAAGGATACTACTGAAATGCTTTCAGATAGAGGCAGTTGATTAAAAACACCTGCATTTAGAGCTTTTCAGGCTGAAATGATGCCTTCCATGTCTAACAGCAGACATGCTCTCAGCCAAGTGCTTGTCCGAATGAGAACATTCAGAGTTCTTTGCTGAATTTGAAACCTTTTTATCCCCACCTGCAGGAATCTCTGGAAGTCAGATGATTATTTGATTAGACAAGTTTATAAATCAAGTCCTTAAATTCTCATGACATTATATAGACTTTGCTACCTGCATGTCTAGTATCAAAAACCTATAGACATTTATTTAATCAACAATACACATCAGAACTTAAACTGCCCTCTAATACTTGCCAAATGCTGAGCTGAGACATCTGGCATGTGAGGAAGTTGGTCTGTGGGAATGAGACTCTCTGTGTCTCTTGGCTCCGCAGGCTTTATCTTGAGATAAAGTTAGATCATCCGGAAATAGGCTGTACTGTTTGGGCAAAATTCCTTTATGAAGTTAGTTTCAACTTGATTTTAGGCCCTAATCTTTTAGAGTTGGTCAACAGAAGTAACATTTCAAAAGAACATGGTTGTGTGTCTTGGGAAAAACCACAAAGACAACATCTATTACGTAACCTTGCAGTCCTTTATACTGTAATTCTTTCCTACTCCCAGGAAAAGTTCCTAATTTCAGATTTCATTTGTCATGTAAGAGCTTATTTAATCATCCAAGATGATTTCCTTATTGACTGACTTCCATGAAGCTCAAAGACAGATCCAATCCTCTGTAGTAGTCAATGTAGCCCAGGTTGCTAGAAGTTCAAACCTTTGTAGCCAGCTTAAAAAATTGAAAAATAATTTGTATATCATAAAATTCACTCTGTACAGTGGTACAATTCAGTTGTTTTTAGTATACTCACAATGTGTGCAATCATCCCCACTGTTTAATTCCAGAACGTTCCCATCCGCTGGAAAGGAGACCCCATGCCTGTTAGCAGTCGCGTTCTGCTCTCCTTTCCTCAGCCCCCGGCGGACACGCGTTCACTTTCCTTCTCCGTGCACTGGCCTGTTGTGCACATTTCCCACAAATAGAATCACACATCATGTGCATGTTTTATCTGGCTTCTTTCACTTAGCATAATGTTTTTCAGAGTTCATTCATATTGTAACAATACTTCATGCCTGTTTAGGGCTAAATAATATTCCATTGTTTAGATATAACCACTTTTTGTTGTTGTTGTTAATCCTCTTTTTTCCATTGATTTTTAGAGAGAGTGGAAGGGAGGGGGAGAGAGAAAGAGAGAAAGAAAGATACTGATGTAAAAGAGACACA